CGTTCTGAGGGTGAAGTGTGTTAGTGTGGAGAGGAGGGTAGAGAGCTCCTCTGTAACGTTCTGAGGGTGAAGTGTGTTAGTGTGGAGAGGAGGGTAGAGAGCTCCTCTGTAACGTTCTGAGGGTGAAGTGTGTTAGTGTGGAGAGCAGGGTAGAGAGCTCCTCTGTAACGTTCTGAGGGTGAAGTGTGTTAGTGTGGAGAGCAGGGTAGAGAGCTCCTCTGTAACGTTCTGAGGGTGAAGTGTGTTAGTGTGGAGAGCAGGGTAGAGAGCTCCTCTGTAACGTTCTGAGGGTGAAGTGTGTTAGTGTGGAGAGCAGGGTAGAGAGCTCCTCTGTAACGTTCTGAGGGTGAAGTGTGTTAGTGTGGAGAGCAGGGTAGAGAGCTCCTCTGTAACGTTCTGAGGGTGAAGTGTGTTAGTGTGGAGAGGAGGGTAGAGAGCTCCTCTGTAACGTTCTGAGGGTGAAGTGTGTTAGTGTGGAGAGGAGGGTAGAGAGCTCCTCTGTAACGTTCTGAGGGTGAAGTGTGTTAGTGTGGAGAGCAGGGTAGAGAGCTCCTCTGTAACGTTCTGAGGGTGAAGTGTGTTAGTGTGGAGAGCAGGGTAGAGAGCTCCTCTGTAACGTTCTGAGGGTGAAGTGTGTTAGTGTGGAGAGCAGGGTAGAGAGCTCCTCTGTAACGTTCTGAGGGTGAAGTGTGTTAGTGTGGAGAGCAGGGTAGAGAGCTCCTCTGTAACGTTCTGAGGGTGAAGTGTGTTAGTGTGGAGAGCAGGGTAGAGAGCTCCTCTGTAACGTTCTGAGGGTGAAGTGTGTTAGTGTGGAGAGGAGGGTAGAGAGCTCCTCTGTAACGTTCTGAGGGTGAAGTGTGTTAGTGTGGAGAGCAGGGTAGAGAGCTCCTCTGTAACGTTCTGAGGGTGAAGTGTGTTAGTGTGGAGAGGAGGGTAGAGAGCTCCTCTGTAACGTTCTGAGGGTGAAGTGTGTTAGTGTGGAGAGCAGGGTAGAGAGCTCCTCTGTAACGTTCTGAGGGTGAAGTGTGTTAGTGTGGAGAGCAGGGTAGAGAGCTCCTCTGTAACGTTCTGAGGGTGAAGTGTGTTAGTGTGGAGAGGAGGGTAGAGAGCTCCTCTGTAACGTTCTGAGGGTGAAGTGTGTTAGTGTGGAGAGCAGGGTAGAGAGCTCCTCTGTAACGTTCTGAGGGTGAAGTGTGTTAGTGTGGAGAGCAGGGTAGAGAGCTCCTCTGTAACGTTCTGAGGGTGAAGTGTGTTAGTGTGGAGAGCAGGGTAGAGAGCTCCTCTGTAACGTTCTGAGGGTGAAGTGTGTTAGTGTGGAGAGCAGGGTAGAGAGCTCCTCTGTAACGTTCTGAGGGTGAAGTGTGTTAGTGTGGAGAGCAGGGTAGAGAGCTCCTCTGTAACGTTCTGAGGGTGAAGTGTGTTAGTGTGGAGAGGAGGGTAGAGAGCTCCTCTGTAACGTTCTGAGGGTGAAGTGTGTTAGTGTGGAGAGCAGGGTAGAGAGCTCCTCTGTAACGTTCTGAGGGTGAAGTGTGTTAGTGTGGAGAGCAGGGTAGAGAGCTCCTCTGTAACGTTCTGAGGGTGAAGTGTGTTAGTGTGGAGAGCAGGGTAGAGAGCTCCTCTGTAACGTTCTGAGGGTGAAGTGTGTTAGTGTGGAGAGCAGGGTAGAGAGCTCCTCTGTAACGTTCTGAGGGTGAAGTGTGTTAGTGTGGAGAGCAGGGTAGAGAGCTCCTCTGTAACGTTCTGAGGGTGAAGTGTGTTAGTGTGGAGAGCAGGGTAGAGAGCTCCTCTGTAACGTTCTGAGGGTGAAGTGTGTTAGTGTGGAGAGGAGGGTAGAGAGCTCCTCTGTAACGTTCTGAGGGTGAAGTGTGTTAGTGTGGAGAGGAGGGTAGAGAGCTCCTCTGTAACGTTCTGAGGGTGAAGTGTGTTAGTGTGGAGAGCAGGGTAGAGAGCTCCTCTGTAACGTTCTGAGGGTGAAGTGTGTTAGTGTGGAGAGCAGGGTAGAGAGCTCCTCTGTAACGTTCTGAGGGTGAAGTGTGTTAGTGTGGAGAGGAGGGTAGAGAGCTCCTCTGTAACGTTCTGAGGGTGAAGTGTGTTAGTGTGGAGAGCAGGGTAGAGAGCTCCTCTGTAACGTTCTGAGGGTGAAGTGTGTTAGTGTGGAGAGCAGGGTAGAGAGCTCCTCTGTAACGTTCTGAGGGTGAAGTGTGTTAGTGTGGAGAGCAGGGTAGAGAGCTCCTCTGTAACGTTCTGAGGGTGAAGTGTGTTAGTGTGGAGAGGAGGGTAGAGAGCTCCTCTGTAACGTTCTGAGGGTGAAGTGTGTTAGTGTGGAGAGCAGGGTAGAGAGCTCCTCTGTAACGTTCTGAGGGTGAAGTGTGTTAGTGTGGAGAGAGGGTAGAGAGCTCCTCTGTAACGTTCTGAGGGTGAAGTGTGTTAGTGTGGAGAGGAGGGTAGAGAGCTCCTCTGTAACGTTCTGAGGGTGAAGTGTGTTAGTGTGGAGAGCAGGGTAGAGAGCTCCTCTGTAACGTTCTGAGGGTGAAGTGTGTTAGTGTGGAGAGCAGGGTAGAGAGCTCCTCTGTAACGTTCTGAGGGTGAAGTGTGTTAGTGTGGAGAGCAGGGTAGAGAGCTCCTCTGTAACGTTCTGAGGGTGAAGTGTGTTAGTGTGGAGAGCAGGGTAGAGAGCTCCTCTGTAACGTTCTGAGGGTGAAGTGTGTTAGTGTGGAGAGCAGGGTAGAGAGCTCCTCTGTAACGTTCTGAGGGTGAAGTGTGTTAGTGTGGAGAGCAGGGTAGAGAGCTCCTCTGTAACGTTCTGAGGGTGAAGTGTGTTAGTGTGGAGAGCAGGGTAGAGAGCTCCTCTGTAACGTTCTGAGGGTGAAGTGTGTTAGTGTGGAGAGCAGGGTAGAGAGCTCCTCTGTAACGTTCTGAGGGTGAAGTGTGTTAGTGTGGAGAGCAGGGTAGAGAGCTCCTCTGTAACGTTCTGAGGGTGAAGTGTGTTAGTGTGGAGAGCAGGGTAGAGAGCTCCTCTGTAACGTTCTGAGGGTGAAGTGTGTTAGTGTGGAGAGCAGGGTAGAGAGCTCCTCTGTAACGTTCTGAGGGTGAAGTGTGTTAGTGTGGAGAGGAGGGTAGAGAGCTCCTCTGTAACGTTCTGAGGGTGAAGTGTGTTAGTGTGGAGAGCAGGGTAGAGAGCTCCTCTGTAACGTTCTGAGGGTGAAGTGTGTTAGTGTGGAGAGCAGGGTAGAGAGCTCCTCTGTAACGTTCTGAGGGTGAAGTGTGTTAGTGTGGAGAGCAGGGTAGAGAGCTCCTCTGTAACGTTCTGAGGGTGAAGTGTGTTAGTGTGGAGAGGAGGGTAGAGAGCTCCTCTGTAACGTTCTGAGGGTGAAGTGTGTTAGTGTGGAGAGCAGGGTAGAGAGCTCCTCTGTAACGTTCTGAGGGTGAAGTGTGTTAGTGTGGAGAGGAGGGTAGAGAGCTCCTCTGTAACGTTCTGAGGGTGAAGTGTGTTAGTGTGGAGAGCAGGGTAGAGAGCTCCTCTGTAACGTTCTGAGGGTGAAGTGTGTTAGTGTGGAGAGGAGGGTAGAGAGCTCCTCTGTAACGTTCTGAGGGTGAAGTGTGTTAGTGTGGAGAGCAGGGTAGAGAGCTCCTCTGTAACGTTCTGAGGGTGAAGTGTGTTAGTGTGGAGAGCAGGGTAGAGAGCTCCTCTGTAACGTTCTGAGGGTGAAGTGTGTTAGTGTGGAGAGGAGGGTAGAGAGCTCCTCTGTAACGTTCTGAGGGTGAAGTGTGTTAGTGTGGAGAGGAGGGTAGAGAGCTCCTCTGTAACGTTCTGAGGGTGAAGTGTGTTAGTGTGGAGAGCAGGGTAGAGAGCTCCTCTGTAACGTTCTGAGGGTGAAGTGTGTTAGTGTGGAGAGCAGGGTAGAGAGCTCCTCTGTAACGTTCTGAGGGTGAAGTGTGTTAGTGTGGAGAGGCAGGGTAGAGAGCTCCTCTGTAACGTTCTGAGGGTGAAGTGTGTTAGTGTGGAGAGCAGGGTAGAGAGCTCCTCTGTAACGTTCTGAGGGTGAAGTGTGTTAGTGTGGAGAGGAGGGTAGAGAGCTCCTCTGTAACGTTCTGAGGGTGAAGTGTGTTAGTGTGGAGAGCAGGGTAGAGAGCTCCTCTGTAACGTTCTGAGGGTGAAGTGTGTTAGTGTGGAGAGGAGGGTAGAGAGCTCCTCTGTAACGTTCTGAGGGTGAAGTGTGTTAGTGTGGAGAGCAGGGTAGAGAGCTCCTCTGTAACGTTCTGAGGGTGAAGTGTGTTAGTGTGGAGAGCAGGGTAGAGAGCTCCTCTGTAACGTTCTGAGGGTGAAGTGTGTTAGTGTGGAGAGGAGGGTAGAGAGCTCCTCTGTAACGTTCTGAGGGTGAAGTGTGTTAGTGTGGAGAGGAGGGTAGAGAGCTCCTCTGTAACGTTCTGAGGGTGAAGTGTGTTAGTGTGGAGAGCAGGGTAGAGAGCTCCTCTGTAACGTTCTGAGGGTGAAGTGTGTTAGTGTGGAGAGCAGGGTAGAGAGCTCCTCTGTAACGTTCTGAGGGTGAAGTGTGTTAGTGTGGAGAGCAGGGTAGAGAGCTCCTCTGTAACGTTCTGAGGGTGAAGTGTGTTAGTGTGGAGAGCAGGGTAGAGAGCTCCTCTGTAACGTTCTGAGGGTTGTTATGGTAACGTTCTGAGGGTTGTTATATATTACCTTTATAATATAATCTATAATAATAATAATATCTATAAGGATAATATTTATAATAATAATATCTATAATAATATCTATAACGATAATATGTATAATAATAATATCTATAATAATAATATCTATAATAATAATATCTATAATAATATCTATAGTAATATCTATAATAATAATATCTATAATAATAGAGGATATGGGTTCCACATTTTTAGCCTACTTAATTGTATCAACTTATTGTTCTGGGCGAAATAAGATTAACTGAATAAATATGTAAAATATGTAAAATATGTAAACTTGTAAAACATACCTGTAAAGTATCAGAGAATGTAACTATATGAGAATCAGAGTAAATAGCTTCGTGAGCAGCGAGCAAATCTTTAAACGCTTTACAATGGTCCTGTAAATTAATCATTAAACTAATGAATTGTAATTCTGTAGATCGTGTTCTTTGGATTGATTATGATTAATTATGATCATTATTTATTATGATTGTCACTTTTTGGGGGTTTCTGACCTGACGATCAAATGTTTAACATCACATCAAGAATCTAGATGAATATGAGATATTAGAATACTAAATCAATGTCCACGCGTTTAATGACTTAACGCATCATACATACCATGTCTAATTCCTTCTATCAATCTATTAACCGATCATGTGATAATATGCAGTGGTTTATTGTTGTTATTCGGTTGGATTAACTTTAAAATTTATACTTTTGTCGACGAATTTTGAGAATTCTGAATGTAAAACTAACGGATATGCCTTTTTGTTGTTATCTTCTATCAATATTCTTCGTTTGCAAAACCGTTGAAATCTTGAATCATTTTGTTAAAACGCTAATATTTACATAACAATTGCACAGTAGATGGAAATTTTTTAAAATCTTCACAATATGATAAGGTTATTTGTCATATAATTCAGAACATGGTTAATGATAATAATCTGGATATGAAACATGAAACAACAAAGTACTACAACATGTATTCATTACATGAGGTCATGTCTCTTTTTTTGATTCTTCTACGACTCCGACTCCCTAGCAAAGGAAGCGGGAGCGGGATTATCTGTAGTACGGAGAGTAATTCCCACCTGGTTCCTCCCCTGGTTCCCCTGGTTACCATGGTTACCCTGGTTACCATGGTTACCCTGGTTACCCTTGCCTCCTCTGCAGCACAACATAACACTACTCCTCACGTACTCTCCGAACCTTCTGTTAGTCAGAGTGTATAAAACAGGGTTACCCGCAGTGTTCAGGAAGATACAATGAAACGCCAGTAAGTCTAGTAAACTGGGCACCGGTACCCTCCATATCCTGAAGAAGGTGAAGATAATGAGGGGAGTCCAGCTCGCTATGAAAAGTCCTGAAAGTGCGGTTACAGTGGTGATACCCTTTGTTCGGTTTCCAGCGGAGGAGTGTTTAAGCGCAGTGACTCCTATAGCAACATTCCCGAGTGTGATAGCGAAGACTGGTAGGATGATCAGGAGACCTGTAGCTACCACCAGAAACACAGGACCTCCTACAGGGTCCCTGTAGATGGAGGAGTTGCAGCGAGCAGCTGTGGGACTGAACACTGAGAGGGACTTGTAGGACAGAGATAGGATAGTTCCCAGTAGAGATACTATCCAGATCAACCCTACCACACCTCGTCCTACAGTCACAGATACACTAGAGAATGGAGACAAGAGGGTCCTCAACCTGTAGAGAGTTATAACAAGCACTGTAAGAGTGTTAACAGTCCCCGGGATGAAGGTAAGTTGGCTCATCACCCAACACCATCCCTCACCTAACACCCAGCCTCCTGCAGAGTACGTCACCAGGATTGGCAGCACGATCATCACCGTGTAGAGTAGATCTGCCACCGCCAGGTTCTGGACCAGGAGTACGGAGATACAGTCCATCTTGATGGTGTTATATCTTAGGGAGGAGTACAGGACGGTGGTGTTACCCAGGAGAGAGAGGAGTGTTATCAGAAAACAGTAGATCCAGAGGGGGACAACTTGGGTGGAGGGCAGAGTGAGGGCTGAAGGGTCAACTGTTGCTGGAGATACCATTGCTGGAGTATAAGGTGGGATTATTTATGAGGGCTAACGTAAATGAGGTAATATTATTATTATACTCAAGTGATTTAAACTTTAAAAGAAACTTTAAAAGAAACACAGCCAAGACGAGCGTTAGATAGTTGTAAAGTACTATAATTATCTTTTTGCAGTACTATAATCATCTTGTTGTAATCTTGCACTTAGTGCAGCAGATGGTAGGACAGCAGAATCGCAGATGGGTGAGGTACTAAGTAGTCAAATAAACAACTTTATGAGACTGTTAGCGTCAGCGTCATCGTAAGAGAGGAGATCAAGACAAATAGAAAAGTATTGTTGTTACTATCATTGTGACGTGTCAAAACAATTACTACTAATTAATTAGATCTGTTAGATGTGCAGCCTGGTCAGGTAATGAGCTGTTCCGTAACGACACTGTACTTAGCACAGAACGGGTTAAAAGTAAACAAAGTATCGTGACGACACGGTACTTAGCACAGAACGGGTTAAAAGTAAACAAAGTATCGGAAATTTGGAACGATAACAAAGTTACAGGGGGGTCGGGAAATAAACCACATTTGTTTTGTCACGTGACAGTGATTGTTGGGTTTGCTAGAAGGGGTTGTACAAACATATAATTAATAGGTTGCGCGGCGTTCTGTAGGAAGGGGTGTTAAACACTACACTACACACTACACACTACACTACACTACACTACACTACACACTACACACTACACACTACACACTACACACTACACACTACACACTACACACTAGTTGCTAGAAGGGGTTGTACAAACATATAATTAATACGGCAGGTTGGGTTCTGTAGAAAGGGGTGCTAAACACTACACTACACTACACTACACACTACACACTACACTACACACTACACACTACACACTACACACTACACTACACTACACACTACACACTACACACTACACACTACACACTACACACTACACACTACACACTACACTACACTACACTACACACTACACACTACACACTACACACTACACACTACACACTACACTACACACTACACACTACACACTACACACTACACACTACACACTACACACTACACACTACACTACACACTACACACTACACACTACACACTACACACTACACACTACACAGTAGCACTACACAGTAGCACTACACACTACACACTACACACTACACACTACACACTACACACTACACCCACTACACTACACTACACTACACTACACTACACTACACTACACTACACTACACTACACTACACACTACACTACACTACACTACACTACACTACACTACACTACACTACACTACACTACACTACACTACACTACACTACACTACACTACACTACACACTACTACACTACACTACACACTACACTACACTACACTACACTACACACTACACTACACTACACACTACACACTACACACTACACTACACTACACTACACTACACTACACTACACTACACTACACACACACTACACTACCACACTACACACTACACACTACACACTCACACTACACACTACACACTACACTACACTACACTACACTTCACTACACTAACACTAAACTTCACTACCACTACACACTAACACCTACACACTACACTACACACTTCTACTACACTACACGACACTACTCTACACACTACACACTACACACGAAACTAAACACTACTCTACACACTACACACTACACACTACACACTACACACTACACTACACTACACGACACTACACACGACACAACACTACACTACACACACACTAAACTAACACACTACACACTAACACACTACACACCTACACAACACTACACTACACTACACTACACACTACACTACACTACACTACACTACACTACACACTACACACTACACTACACTACACACTACACTACACTACACTACACTACACTACACTACACTACACACTACACTACACTACACTACACTACACTACACTACACTACACTACACTACACTACACTACACTACACTACACTACACTACACTACACTACACTACACTACACTACACTACACACTACACACTACACTACACTACACTACACTACACTACACTACACTACACACTACACACTACACACTACACTACACTACACTACACACTACACACTACACTACACTACACTACACTACACTACACTACACTACACTACACTACACTACACACTACACTACACACTACACTACACTACACTACACACTACACACTACACTACACTACACTACACTACACTACACTACACTACACTACACTACACTACACTACACTACACACTACACTACACTACACACTACACTACACTACACTACACTACACTACACTACACTACACTACACTACACTACACTACACTACACTACACTACACTACACACTACACTACACTACACTACACTACACTACACACTACACACTACACTACACTACACTACACTACACTACACTACACTACACTACACTACACTACACTACACTACACTACACTACACTACACTACACTACACTACACTACACTACACTACACACTACACTACACTACACACTACACTACACACTACACTACACTACACTACACACTACACACTACACTACACTACACTACACTACACTACACTACACTACACTACACTACACTACACTACACTACACTACACTTTGTTTATTTAATGTCCCTTGTACATCTAGCTCAATTCATATCCTAGCTTTATTTGTACTAGTTAAAGGGAGCGTGGTGACGTTGTGTGTGCCTTGTGAGCTACATCATATTTTGCCTGTTAGTATTACTATTAGTATTTAGTTGATATTTTTTCATCATTTATTATTTATTTTCTATTACCTTATCAATATTATCTAACTGATAACAGTATACAATCAATAACCAGACACTTTACCAGACACAGAGTAGAGCCTACACTAGTTACCCTGGTAACTACACTCCTGTACGATACCCGGAAACACTTGATTAGTGAAACGCAGAAAATCCTAGCTCTAGATCGCTTTACTTTGTATTAATTCGATTTCCAAAGTGGATAAGTCTAAGTTTAGTGCTGCTATATTTCTTATATATCCCCCTCCAGGCTAAGTTTAGTGCTGCTATATTTCTTATATATACCGTATATTTCTATATTTCTTTTCGAGATCACATACCACATCAGTTTGTCGCGTAGAATGTTTATGTAAATTTTATAGATTATTTATTGTAGCTTTTATATCGTGTAAAATGTTACGGACGAAATGATCCCAGGGGGGAATCCCAACCCACCGCTTGGGGCCGTTGTTGATACACCTTTTACATGCAAGAACCACTTTGGTCTACTTGCTGTGCAATGTCAGTATTATAATATAACTACACGATGCCAAACCCCTTCCCATTAATTCTTTAATTCTCAAACCGTTGCCGACAAGTGAATATGATGAATTCTTTTCGTTTGAAATGTACGATTTTAACGATTAATTGGGCATAAACATTTTCGCTCTACTTTGTGCATCGTCCTAATAACCGATCAAACAAATGATTCAGGATCGCATATGTAAAGTTTTATATAACCAGTAATCATGTTAACACACTACTATTACTAACACTAGTATTACTAACACACCCTTAATACTATCTAGTGACAAAACACTAGTATTACTAACACACCCTTAATACTATCTAGTGACAAGCAATGGACGAGTTCCTCATTTTAACGACAGATATCAACGTAAGAACAGGCCCCACAATAGTTGGTAAGGAGGGGAGTAACAGTGAACTGATGGAGAAGCTAGGAGCTACCTTAGCACAATCCAACTCAGTGCTAAGCTTGTCATTCTGGGAGTCTCCAACAGATCTCTCTGCAGTCATGTGTTTAGCGAAAGGGTTGGGTTATAAGTTGGTCAGTTCTACAGGGTTGGGACAAACTTTCATCGTTGTTACCAGGGCAACCAGGTTAAGAATGATTGGAACTTGAAACTAAAGAATGATTGGAACTTGAAACTAAAGAATGATTGGAACTTGAAACTAAAGAATGATTGGAACTTGAAACTAAAGAATGATTGGAACTTGAAACTAAAGAATGATTGGAACTTGAAACTAAAGAATGATTGGAACTTGAAACTAAAGAATGATTGGAACTTGAAACTAAAGAATGAGTGGAACTTGAAACTAAAGAATGATTGGAACTTGAAACTAAAGAATGATTGGAACTTGAAAATAAAGAATGATTGGAACTTGAAGCTAAAGAATGATTGGAACTTGAAACTAAAGAATGATTGGAACTTGAAACTAAAGAATGATTGGAACTTGAAACTAAAGAATGATTGGAACTTGAAAATAAAGAATGATTGGAACTTGAAAATAAAGAATGATTGGAACTTGAAAATAAAGAATGATTGTAACTTGAAGCTAAAGAATGATTGGAACTTGAAAATAAAGAATGAGTGAACTTGAAACTAAAGAATGATTGGAACTTGAAACTAAAGAATGAGTGAACTTTTAAGATTTTTTAAAAGTGCGCTCTATTTTTGTGAAGTGTGCGCATATTAATTTATTAGGGTCGCTTTTAAACTTAAGTTTCTTGTTAGATTTTACAATTTACAATACAATTACATTATTTATTATCTCTAAAGATGGCGTATTGATTTACTTTGATAATTTAACGAAATTCTTAGAAAATTTACTTTAACGTGACCAGATAAAGCAACACGAAGTAAAATAGAGACAAATAAAACATTGTGGCTGCAGTACAGTAATAGGAAAACTGCTAGTACAACAATATCACTGCAGTAAAAGTGAAACTAATAGTACCCGAGAATAAGGTAATCGTGTGTTGAGTAGCTAATGACCAAGCACTGAATACGATATAACTTGACACAGTCAGGTACCAGGGCAACCAGGTACCAGGGCAACCAGGTACCAGGGCAACCAGGTACCAGGGCAACCAGGTACCAGGGCAACCAGGTACCAGGGCAACCAGGTACCAGGGCAACCAGGTACCAGGGCAACCAGGTACCAGGGCAACCAGGTACCAGGGCAACCAGGTACCAGGGCAACCAGGTACCAGGGCAACCAGGTACCAGGGCAACCAGGTACCAGGGCAACCAGGTACCAGGGCAACCAGGTACCAGGGCACCCAGGTACCAGGGCAACCAGGTACCAGGGCAACCAGGTACCAGGGCAACCAGGTACCAGGGCAACCAGGTACCAGGGCAACCAGGTACCAGGGCAACCAGGTACCAAGGCAACCAGGTACCAGGGCAACCAGGTACCAGGGCAACCAGGTACCAGGGCAACCAGGTACCATGACCAGGGCAACCAAAGAACGTTATTGCTATAACAAGTTACCATGGTGACTAGTTATTGTTATATTTATAACTAAAACTACTGTCTACTAGTTATTGTTATATTTTTGAAAATGGTCATTACAACCGCCGTTGCCGCCAGGATCAACAAAAATAACAACTGTCTGTTGTAAAATTTCAGGCATGTATATATACTGGCATGTGGGATCATAATAATCGGTGGTAGTCTATCAACTACTTGCTGAGCAATGAGAATATTATGAAAAATGGATTAGAATGAATTCCAAAGTTCAGATCAACACTGAGTAAATGATCAAGAGTAATGAACCTACCTACCTAAGTAGAGTCTAGAGTAATGACAATACTCTTAATCAGTCATCGGTAACCGTTTATAGTACGGAGCTCAATGCTCACTCGACACTACTAGCACCTTGAATAACTCAATAATAGAGTATATAGTAGGACAGCTGAGCATGTGCGCGTGACGATGATATTTCAATAATCGGCTAACCTTGGTCATTGATCCTTGGTCATTGATAACGGGAAATAAACAAATGACGGGTCCTTAAAGGGTGGGTCTACCAGCTGTACAGGCACGTAGCCAGGTGTACCAGCTGGAATAGAGAATTTTATAGAAACTAAAGCCCTGCTTAAAATTGAAAATCATTATTTATATTTTTTCACATTAAAACGCTGGGACGATCCTTTACGTAGGTTTACAATAGTCCAGAAACCAAAATTGTGGTTGCAAGCCGCAGCAGAAATATTTCTTGAAGCAGATAATCGGAAATCGGATTTCACGGTCATAACATTGTACTATTAATAGGTTACTAATACCTAAATATTGGGAAAACCGATAACGGAACCAAAGGGATGGAGAGATTTTGACATCTTGATATCGAACGGTTTTTAATATTCACGTTATTTAAAGGAACTTCCGACTACCAAAACTATGATCTAGGTAGGTTGCAAATGTAGCACGTGACCAGGTAACCAGGTAACCTGGCAACTAGATCTGTTAGAAGTATCTGGCGATTGCAAGACAGACTAAGTTGTCCCCAAAAATAAAAATAATTAAGTTTTCCTACCGTAATATAGCTAGTAAAGGGTTCAGGAATTTCCACTCTTTCCGTCACCACATCCTCAGATATCTCGGTTATGATGTGCTCTGCTTGGGAGACAGCTTCTTTACTTCCGGTCATTCCTAGTACTCCTCCGTCATCTGGTAATACAGTGTGTTACAGTGTGTGTTACAATGTGTTACACAATACACAATACACATACAGTGTGTTACAGTGTGTGTTACAGTGTGTTACAGTGTGTTACACATACTGATAATACAGACTGTTAAGACGTGTTAATAGGATATATTTCTACTGGTTGGAAACCCGACCTAGGGACGGATCTCTTAAAGCGAAGATGGTCTTATTAAAAAGGTAAACAAGACATATCAGAGCATTTATGTACAAAATCGTAACGAAGAGAAACATCAACAGAAAACCAATTGTTATCGAACTAAAGTTGACTACCAGCCAGTTTGAGTTCCACAAAGTTCTTCTCCTGAAAGCGAACTATTTTAGCCTCATCTTGATCAAATACAAAATCAGTTATCAGCTTCTCCAACACCAGTTCCTCTGCAAATAGATTTGATTATTAGTAGTAGTAACCATAGTAACCAGTAGTAACCAGTAGTAACCAGTCTTATATTATTTGATTATTATCATCTGTCACTTGAGTGTTAATTTCTATTAAATAGAATCTGGTGTCTAGTGTTGTATAGTTCAAATAGAAGTTATACGATAATTTTATACGGGCCAAATTCCATAAATTTGTAAAATTAGAATAAGTTCAGTAAATATAATAATAAATCAAACTTTTTAAATCACTAAGATTAGCTGAAAACGTACTGTAAACAGGTTTAATAATAATAAATCACTAAGCTCTAAGATAAGCTGAAAACGTACTGTAAACAGGTTTAATAATAATAAATCACTAAAATAAGCTGAAAACGTACTGTAAACAGGTTTAATAATAATAAATCACTAAAATAAGCTGAAAACGTACTGTAAACAGGTTTAATAATAATAAATCACTAAGATAAGCTGAAAACGTACTGTAAACAGGTTTAAGATATATAATAAATCACTAAGATAAGCTGAAAACGTACTGTAAACAGGTTTAAGATATATAATAAATCACTAAGATAAGCTGAAAACGTACTGTAAACAGGTTTAAGATATATAATAAATCACTAAGATAAGCTGAAAACGTACTGTAAACAGGTTTAAGATATATAATAAATCACTAAGATAAGCTGAAAACGTACTGTAAACAGGTTTAAGATATATAATAAATCACTAAGATAAGCTGAAAACGTACTGTAAACAGGTTTAAGATATATAATAAATCACTAAGATAAGCTGAAAACGTACTGTAAACAGGTTTAAGATATATAATAAATCACCAAAATAAGCTGAAAACGTACTGTAAACAGGTTTAATAATAATAAATCACTAAGATTAGCTGAAAACGTACTGTAAACAGGTTTAATAATAATAAATCACTAAGATTAGCTGAAAACGTACTGTAAACAGGTTTAAGATATATAATAAATCACTAAGATAAGCTGAAAACGTACTGTAAACAGGTTTAAATTATATAATAAATCACTAAGATTAGCTGAAAACGTACTGTAAACAGGTTTAATAATAATAAATCACTAAAATAAGCTGAAAACGTACTGTAAACAGGTTTAAATTATATAATAAATCACTAAGATAAGCTGAAAACGTACTGTAAACAGGTTTAATAATAATAAATCACTAAGATTAGCTGAAAACGTACTGTAAACAGGTTTAATAATAATAAATCACTAAGATAAGCTGATAACGTACTGTAAACAGGTTTAAGATATATAATAAATCACCAAAATAAGCTGAAAACGTACTGTAAACAGGTTTAATAATAATAAATCACTAAGATTAGCTGAAAACGTACTGTAAACAGGTTTAATAATAATAAATCACTAAGATTAGCTGAAAACGTACTGTAAACAGGTTTAAGATATATAATAAATCACTAAGATAAGCTGAAAACGTACTGTAAACAGGTTTAAATTATATAATAAATCACTAAGATAAGCTGAAAACGTACTGTAAACAGGTTTAAGATATATAATAAATCACTAAGATAAGCTGAAAACGTACTGTAAACAGGTTTAAGATATATAATAAATCACTAAGATAAGCTGAAAACGTACTGTAAACAGGTTTAAGATATATAATAAATCACTAAGATAAGCTGAAAACGTACTGTAAACAGGTTTAAGATATATAATAAATCACTAAGATAAGCTGAAAACGTACTGTAAACAGGTTTAAGATATATAATAAATCACTAAGATAAGCTGAAAACGTACTGTAAACAGGTTTAAGATATATAATAAATCACCAAAATAAGCTGAAAACGTACTGTAAACAGGTTTAATAATAATAAATCACTAAGATTAGCTGAAAACGTACTGTAAACAGGTTTAATAATAATAAATCACTAAGATTAGCTGAAAACGTACTGTAAACAGGTTTAAGATATATAATAAATCACTAAGATAAGCTGAAAACGTACTGTAAACAGGTTTAAATTATATAATAAATCACTAAGATTAGCTGAAAACGTACTGTAAACAGGTTTAATAATAATAAATCACTAAGATAAGCTGAAAACGTACTGTAAACAGGTTTAAGATATATAATAAATCACTAAGATAAGCTGAAAACGTACTGTAAACAGGTTTAAGATATATAATAAATCACCAAAATAAGCTGAAAACGTACTGTAAACAGGTTTAATAATAATAAATCACTAAGATTAGCTGAAAACGTACTGTAAACAGGTTTAATAATAATAAATCACTAAGATTAGCTGAAAACGTACTGTAAACAGGTTTAAGATATATAATAAATCACTAAGATAAGCTGAAAACGTACTGTAAACAGGTTTAAATTATATAATAAATCACTAAGATTAGCTGAAAACGTACTGTAAACAGGTTTAATAATAATAAATCACTAAAATAAGCTGAAAACGTACTGTAAACAGGTTTAAATTATATAATAAATCACTAAGATAAGCTGAAAACGTACTGTAAACAGGTTTAATAATAATAAATCACTAAGATTAGCTGAAAACGTACTGTAAACAGGTTTAATAATAATAAATCACTAAGATAAGCTGATAACGTACTGTAAACAGGTTTAAGATCCACTGCTTCCTGTATGAACCCAGATAACCGGTAGTAACAAAGACTAAGGTTCTGTTGGCGTGTAGGACACTGTTTAGCGTGTATAGTTAACGAGTCTCCGTCCAGTTCTAGCAGCACTGGGATATCTCGGAATACTGGGAATAGGGACATGTTATTTTGGGAGCATGTCTATAGAAGCTTCTAGAACTGCGAACATTTTCCTGTACAAAGTATTCAACACACTAGAACGATCTAGAGGTAAACAGCAAACTTTACAATGGAATTTACAAAGAAATTCGTAATATTTAACTTACTTTTGGGCAGTCTCCAATGCTCGTAAGTTTTAGGATGCAGGTCACTGAGTTTCATGTTCTGGTTAGCGGACACCAGGTCCCGGAAGTACAGTTCCGTGTCTGGGTCCAGGTCCAGGTTCTTAATATCAACACGGACAGAGACCTCACGTGATAAGGGGTGTTTTATAGAGGGGGCTGCATACACGTAGTTAGTAGTGTACTGCCTGGGTAGGGTTACACAGGGTTACACAGGATTACACAGGATTACACAGGATTACACAGGATTACACAGGATTACACAGGATTACACAGGGGTTACACAGGATTACACAGGATTACACAGGATTACACAGGATTACACAGGATTACACAGGGTTACACAGGATTACACAGGATTACACAGGATTACACAGGATTACACAGGATTACACAGGGGTTACACAGGGTTACACAGGATTACACAGGATTACACAGGGTTACACAGGATTACACAGGATTAAAATTAAATAATAGCTCAACGATCGTGAACCGTCATAACTTCATAATTGTTTACAGATTTGGGTATTTTAATGTTGGCATGGGGATATATTTTCAATTTAATGTTTTAATTTTCAAAAATAGTAAAAGGATTATTTGTATCACATCAACACGCTGAGTCTTGAAAGTTTCAATATTTGTTTCATACTCAATAACGGGGGGGGGGGGGGGGGGGGGGGGGGGAGAAATAACCAATGGTATTATTATGATCTCACCTCAGACATTTGGTCGGTAAAAAAAACCGAACAAATATTTTTTACCTAAATTAAAAAGTTGGCCCGTTTTGGCCCCTTGCCCAGATTTTATGGGGGGATGATGGCCCCCTACCCCCCCCCCCCCCCCCCCCCGGTTCCTACACCCCTGTATTTCATGATCTCACCTCAGACAATGGGTCGGCTTGTCGGGGGGCGGATTGCACAATTTCTTCAGTTCAGCAGTGTGCAGTTGTATCATGGGCGGTGTTAGGTGGAGGAAATTGTTGATCTTTGCAGCTTCTTCGTTACCTGTCCAGTAAGAGTTATTAGCTATTTTATTTTATTTTATATATATATATATTTTTTAAATTTTGTACAAGTTTCCATTCACGGGATAGCCAGTTACCTGGCAACGCCCGCTCATGATGCTTCTCCAAGCTCACAAAAGTGCCAGGAAGATATTCATGTATTTCTGCACGAGGAGCCCATCACAGCTACCACAATTAATTTTGTTTCCAAGGCCTAGGCAGGTTACCATTTTGTACAATTAGTTATTAATTATCATGCCAAGTAATGTACTGAGTAAGTCGTATTTAACATCGGTTCAAACAGAGGTATTTATAAAGGAGCACTATACAGAGCACTATACAGAGCACTATACTATCGACTCTGCCCTGCTCACTAATCATTAATTACCAACACAGGTAGCTTATAAAACAGTGCGTGTGATCATCTGTCGTATCATTTATTCAAATTATTTTTTCCCGATCCATGACTCAAAGTGCCGAAGGCACAAAAGAGTCAAGGACAAGGGTTAGCGAACGAGGTTTTTTTTTTGTATATGGTAGCTTTCGTCCGAGCCTGCGTGCGAGTGTGCGTACGTGTCGCCCACGTGTCTGCCTGCGCAAAGTTATTTTGCGCGAAAATCTGAATTAAACAATTGTTTGCGCGCGGTGCTGAAATGTTCAAGTACATTGTTAATTTCACCATGTACGCATCCCGCTAGGGACTAATTGATAGCATAGTATTATTATTTTGGGTTAGTATTACTATTTTGCACAGATCCGTGTCAGGTTGCATAAACAATAAACATATGGTTACATAGAAATATACACGATTTTCAAATTAAATATGGAATTAAATCAACTGGGCGGCGCTCGGCCTGTCACTCCGCCATATCTGCATGCTTATAAACAGTAAAGACTGGGGTCCCCAGGAATATGATCAAATACTCAAACACGGATCGGGAAATTGAGCGGCCATCCACAAAAGAAAAGCGGCCGCATTTCTTGTTCACTATGTTTTTAATAAATAAATCATGATATGCAAGTTTTAATTTTAAAGTTTTTGGTTTAAAGAAAAAGAATAAGCGATACAGGTTACATCATAATTTTCAACTTTCTTTTTTTTGCTTATATTAAACAAAATTATATTGTTATGTATCCTATGATTTCGTAAATATAGGCCGGTGTTCCCAAACAAACAAGCAGTTAAACAGCTTAAAAGGATAATGATAACTACTGCTTAGGAGTAGTTTCACTTGTCCTACCTAGTCTCTACTATCGGATATTATCCCTGGAATCATTATCTTATTATGAGACTGATAAACAGCGAACCTCTCAGGATCTCAGCTTAAAAAGAGTACCGGGGAAAAAAGCAAGAATGAAGAAAATCAAAACGAGCAGTAGAGTTATTGTATATATATATATTATTCGGTAGTTACAAATTAAAAACAGTGGCACGAAAGTCTACAATAGTCTTGGTTAACTTGGCTTTCAAAACAAAACACTCGATATAGTAAGGGGAAAAGTGGTCGATTTAAGGGTTCCGTTGGATTTGAATGTTCACAAGGATTTCTCAGCTAATTGGATAATTACCAATTAGTTAATCACCAAAAAAAGTGAAAAGTTTTTATTGGCTCAAAATGATTGAAATCGTTTGAAACACGGAGAAAAGTATTTTCAAGAAAAACTTCAAAAATTTTTCACTCAAAATATTTTTTCGAGACTTGGAAAAAAAGTTTGAAAATTTGAAAATATTTTTTTTCGCCAAAAGTGATCGAATTGCATGAAACGTGGATAAAAATGCCTTGCAGAAAAACTTCGAAGATTTTTAGATTGGGGAATACTAAAATCATCAATATTTGAAGTTGGAGTAAATCTCGACATATTTTAGTAATTAGGAATAGCTTAGCGGAAAGGGCTGAACCTGAAAAAGGTTAACCACACAATGTTAGAGTTTCATAACTAATTACAATACAGCTTTATCAAATTCCACATAAAGAAACAGCACAAAAGGACCATTTAAGATCGAACCGATTTTACCTGCTGTACTATCATTTTATTGATTTCAATGATCAAAACCTCTGTACCGTCAATCTTTCCAATCTAGACCGGGTATCTGAATGTACCGGACCTCTTATTTACCTGTATAAATAGATCCAGTTGTGCAAGAAATGATTTCTCACAGGGGTTTCTTTTAACTGTTCACTTTTTGTCACTCTCGCAAGAGGCCTGGTATTATAGGGGGGTATATGAAGCGAGTGTTAATATACCTTCCATCATCCACTGTGGCTTTTTTGTATTGTGAATTCGCATGCCGCTTCGTTTGCTATGCAAGATACCTCAAATAACCCCCATATGTCATTGCCAGGGTCGGGATAGAGCTGGAGATAGCATTGAAAAGTTGCTAGAAATAGCTAGATTTAGAGTAAACTGGTGGTAGCTGGGTGGTGCTAGCATGGATGTAGCAGAACGTAGCTACACGGGGTTTCATTGGAGTTGGTTATTTTAATGGCCAAAGAGTGCCGGAGCTAAGTTACTTAAAATTGCAGTTGAGGGGCAGTGCAAACCACGGTGGAGTCAGGGACACAGAGCTACAGTGCAGGGGTACTGCAAAAGAACAGTGCAAGTGATACAGTCTGCAACAGTAAAACGCCGAAGAAGGAGATAAGATTGTGGCTGCAGAGGAGGAGAGGAGCTGGAACCTGATTGTGTTTGGGTTGTAAGAAGAGGAGGAAGAAGAGTTTCCTGCTCTGGTAACTACATTTTTGGAAGAGGTGGGGCGAGAACTTATTTCCAAGCGACAAGGCCAAGGGTGGGCTGGAAGCAACCAAGTACAGCTATCCGACCTATCAAGATCACCGTCCTGAGCTTAATAGCCTTTCATCAGCTCTGTGTCCCTGACTCCACCGTGCTTTACACTGCCCCTCAACTGCAATCTTAAGTAACTTTAGTTCCGGCACTCTTTGGCCATTAAAATAACCAACTCCAATGAAACCCTGTGTAGCTACGTTCTGCTACATCCATGCTAGCACCACCCAGCTACCACCAGTTTACTCTAAATCTAGCTATTTCTAGCAACTTTTCAATGCTATCTCCAGCTCTATCCCGACCCTGGCAATGACATATGGGGGTTATTTGAGGTATCTTGCATAGCAAACGAAGCGGCATGCGAATTCACAATACAAAAAAGCCACAGTGGATGATGGAAGGTATATTATTATTAACACTCGCTTCATATACCCCCCTATAATACCAGGCCTCTTGCGAGAGTGACACAAAGTGAACAGTTAAAAGAAACCCCTGTGAGAAATTTCTTGCACAACTGGATCTATTTATACAGGTAAATAAGAGGTCCGGTACATTCAGATACCCGGTCTAGATTGGAAAGATTGACGGTACAGAGGTTTTGATCATTGAAATCAATAAAATGATAGTACAGCAGGTAAAATCGGTTCAATCTTAAATGTTCCTTTTGTGCTGTTTCTTTATGTGGAATTTGATAAAGCTGTATTGTAATTAGTTATGAAATTCTAACATTGTGTGGTTAACCTTTTTCAGGTTCAGCCCTTTCCGCTAAGCTATTCCTAATTACTAAAATATGTCGAGATTTACTCCAACTTCAAATATTGATGATTTTAGTATTCCCCAATCTAAAAATCTTCGAAGTTTTTCTGCAAAGGCATTTTATCCACGTTTCATGCAATTCGATCACTTTTGGCGGAAAAAAAATATTTTCAAATTTTCAAACTTTTTTTCCAAGTCTCGAAAAAATATTTTGAGTGAAAAATTTTTGAAGTTTTTCTTGAAAATACTTTTCTCCGTGTTTCAAACGATTTCAATCATTTTGAGCCAATAAAAAATTTTCACTTTTTTTGGTGATTAACTAATTGGTAATTATCCAATTAGCTGATTGTCCAATGTAAAAAATATTCGTACAAAAGTTTTACTCCTTGATAAGATAAACATTCTAGGTTAATTTGCAGCCTTCTACGACGTTCACAACTAAAGATATTTGGCAAACCAGAAAGGTGGTACAAAGGTGGTAAAAAGTGGTAAAAGTGGTGTTTCTGTTGAGATACAAAATTGGCAACAAGTCTAATTATATCCGTAGGGGTCCTTACTACCATATTCCCTTGAGAAATCCTTGTGAACATTCAAATCCAACGGAATGCCACTTTTCCCCTTACTAATAGTCGATTCACAACTATACTTTTAAAGGTCCTTGTAACGCGACGAAATCACATGATAGGAGATGTGCTTGTGTTACCATGGTAACACTGCTAGTTACCATGGTAACACTGCTAGTTACCATGGTAACACTGCTAGTTACCATGGTAACACTGCTAGTTACAATAGTAACACTGCTAGTTACCATGGTAACACTGCTAGTTACCATGGTAACACTGCTAGTTACCATGGTAACACCCCACTAGAACCGTGAGACACAAGATGGGAAATGTCTCAAGCACCCTCACATCTGATTTCACAGTTTGATTTGTCTCTGTTTCAGTAACATCTCCTTCTTCTTCTTCTACTGCAGTAACTGGGAGGCACGGTAACACATTGTCACTCCCCGAGTATACTAGCACCTGTTCCGTGCTAATGTTGTTTCCCCTGACCTCCGTGCTAATGCTGTTTCCCCTGACCACGAAACCATCATCACATCTAATAGTGACACGAGTACCGGGCAGAAAGAAAGGCAAGTTGTCAGGGTTCAGAACAGTCCCATTTGGTACGAACAGGCTTTCTTGAGAGCGAGCCTTTTCACGTCCTACCATGAAAGATACCACCGGTAATTTAGTTTCATGCTGATTATAGAAAGGAATTGAATCAGACTCATTTCCCTCCTTTATGTTGCCAAAGAGCTCGAATTTTCTAGTGTACCCTTTGTGATTCCTCAGAGAAAACCGCTGCAGCAAACTCTTCCGACAGTGACGCAGAACCACTTTGGTGGTCTCCACGTCAAATTCAAGGCACCAGTTAGCATTGCTCCGAGAGAGGATGCGAAACTCGTCCGACCAATCC